CACTCCTAACCGTCTTAATCCGTCGATTAAGTTGGTTTTCCACTTCATTCTTATAAAGAATGAATTTATCGATTGCTTCGTGTTTATTTTTTAATAAATAAACGTAGCTATAGCGAGTGCTATCATCGATAAACGTAATAAAATATTTATTACCGCCACGTGTTTGTATTGATTTAAAATCACAAACGTCACTGTGAATTCATTCAAGTGGTTCCGTTTTTCTTTCAACTGATTTGAAAGACGTTTTCGTTAGTTTTACCTCTACACAAACTTCACATTTGTGCTTCACATCAATTGTGAATTTAGGAATGTGCTCCATGTTAATCAATCTACGTATAGAATTAAAATTAACATGTCCTAGTCTACCATGCCACACATTAGAAGACTCAAGCAAGTAAGCAGAAGGGATTTTATTATTATTATTAATAATAGTCATTACATTGAGCTTAAAAAGCCCATCACATGTATACCCCTTTCCCACATACATTCCCGACTTAGACAAAACCAGTTTGTCCGACTCAAAAACCATGCGGAAGCCATGCTTGTTCAACAACGAACCGGAAATCAGGTTTTTGCGTATTTCCGGAACAAACAGCACTTGGTTGAGAGTCAGCTCTTTGCCCGAAGTCATCTTCAGGACCACCTTGCCCACACCTTCAACCGCGGAATGAGCCGAGTTACCCATTCACACTTTCTCACCATTTGATGGCTCAAAAGTTGTGAATAACTCCCGGTTTGAGAAAATATGCCGGGTTGCACCGGTGTCCACGAACCACTCCTTGGAATTGGATCCAACGAGGTTGACCTCGGTCACCACAACCACAAGGATGATGTCTTCATCCTTTTGCCCACCTTGCACCAAGTTGACTTGAGATTCCCTCTTCTTCTTGGGTGCATTGCAATCCGCGGACTTGTGTCCGTTTTTATTGCAATTGAAGCATTTTCCGTTGAACTTTGTCTTGGAAACGCCTCCCTTGGGACCGAGCTTGCTCTTCCCATTATTCTTGGTTTTGGAGCCTTTCGCATGCTCCACCACGTTTGCCTTGGCGCCATGAACAATTGGGAGTTTCCCATCATTCTTCCGGTTATCCTCTTCAATTCGCAGACGGAGGATCAATTGCTCCAAGTTCATTTCCTTTCGCTTGTGCTTAAGGTAGTTCTTGAAATCCTTCCAAGCCGGCGGCAATAAATGGATAATTGACGCCACTTGGAAAGACTCACTAACTGTCATTCCTTCATCTCGAATTTCGTTGAAGATCATTTGCATTTCCTCAACTTGACTCAAGACTGTCTTTGAATCCACCATTTTAAAATCAAGGAATCGACCAACAACAAATTTCTTTGCGCCGGCATCCTCGCTTTTATATTTGTGATCCAAAGCATTCCATAGCTCCTTAGCTGTAGCTAATTTGCTATACACGTCGTACAAAGCATCATGCAGCCCGTTTAACACATAGTTTCGGCAAAGGAAGTCAGAATGCTTCCAAGCTTCAACCGCGTTGAAAGATTGCGCATCCACCTCACCCCCGGTTGCTACCGGCGCATCTTCGGTCAAGAACCTTGCAAGACCGAGAGTAGTGAGATAGAATAGCATCTTTTGCTGCCACCTCTTGAAGTTTAACCCGTTAAATTTTTCGGGTTTCTCCACAGAGTTGCTCGGCACGGTAACCACAGGGATTGCCCCTTGGTTGCCCAAAGTAGATGCACCGCGTTATGAACCATTGTTCACCGGTGCTCCACTTTCAGATTGATTATCGTTTGGCACGTTCTGCCCACCAACATTTCCAATTTCTTGCAAAGCAATTTTAACGTTTTCAACGTTTTCCGAAAACACAAAAATTAAGTTCGTTCACCGAAGTGACAAACTACGTTTTTAGATTGTTTACCGCAGTACAACAACCAAGGAAAATACGTGTTAGGATTGTTTACCGGAGTAGAACAATCACCGAATACGTTTTAAGATTCTTGGGTGTGTTTCGGAAAAAACGAAGAAATATTAATTAAATAAAATTAATTAATAAACAAAATAGCTAAAAGAAAAAAGAAAATAAGATGGAACAGATTTTAGCCAGAGCTCGTGCTACGCACGATGTCCTTAAAACGTATTCGTCGCCTCCCACGGTGCTAGGAGCGTTGCAACGACCGTTTCCCAGGATACGGTGGCTAACGAACGATCGTTTGAGCACACAAACGAAAGTTCCGGCGAACTGGAACACAGTAAGAACACTTAGGAAATTTGGGAGTAGCTGGAAGTCTTTTTCGCTCAAGAAAACAGGAGGAATGTATTGTGTGTTGTGAAACCGTGTGTTTGTTGCAAAGCACCTGCCAGCTATTTATAGGAGGATTTGTTGTGTGTTAAATGGGTGTTAATGGACCTGAACGTTGGACATCAATGACCAGTCCGTTGGGCATTGATTCGTCCATAAACTGTCCATTTAACGCAGCATTAAAAGAAAAGAACGTTGGGTATTAATTGTTATAACGGAAGAATTGCGCGACAGAAAACCCCTACAGAACACCCCTTCGAGGGGTTCTGTTCGAAGCCAACAGAACACCCCTTCAAGGGGTTCTGTCCGAAGCCAACAGAACACCATTCGAGGGGTTCTGTCCGTAGCCAACAGAACACCCCTTCGAGGAGTTCTGTCCGTAGCCAATAGAACACCCCTTCGAGCGGTTCTGGTCGAGGCCTTCTGTCTTGAGAGATAGATTTTTGGACGGCATTCGTGTCCGCAGGTCGCCCGCGCACACGAGTCGCGGTTTTTCTTCTCCGTTTCGGGATTTGATCGGCACCCCCCCCCCCCCCCTGCGCGTAAGAGAGAGCCTTTACCCTTAGGAATCTTAACTCCTTAAAAGAGGCTTCCCTTTATAAGGGGGTGAAAATCCCTTGAGTTTTTCGGTGTGGGATAAAACACACTAGAAACTCATCATTTTCCCAGTTTTTCCATTTCAACGAGTGAACTTCGAGAATCAATTTCTCATTCACCCGTTATCCGTTTTGAGTGTACCACATATCGAATTGTAGCCCTTAACAAGGACAATCCGAAACCACTTTGACCCGACCCAAATCGGAAGTGGACCCCACTCAAATAATTGCCCCAAAATGACCAAATAATGCAATTTTTAACACATTTTTCCAACAAGACACTCCTCAGCATAATCCCTAATTCTCTTAAATTGGTCTTTAAAAGTAGAGTTAGATTTTTCATGTATCCCCCTCATAGTTCTACTCACCATATTGACAGATACATTAATCTTAAGTTCAGCCTTAATAAGAGCTTTTAAGTCCATGACAGTCATGTTTTGATTAGCAAAAACTTTTTCTTCGTAATGCTCTTCAATCCATTTCTGACTAACAACCCCCAATTTAAACCTCTTATTGCATAAATGACGTTTTCTAAACAACTTCACTTGCATACAGTGATACCTTTTATCCCATGTAGCAATACACCTAAAAGGACGGTTTGTAGCACACTTCACACGCACTCTCTTTGGTTCATTCTTAGCAAACCGGAGGTCTCTTTTTTTTGTATACAACATATTTGATAATTGCATTTTTAAACTGCCTTCCATCCTCAAACAGCATGGCCAACTAAATATGAGGTCGTTCAGACTCTGGGTTATAGCTTGGATGCCTTACCTTCTTTGTTTTATGCTGCACAACTGTATCATCTTCATTCTCTTCTGAATGTATGCTGGAATGGTTGTCAGAATCATACTCAACACTTGTTTCTGAGTCACAAGCACCCTAATCTTGGAATTTGTTTTTAAAATATTGGGTGTGTTCGTTTTCAGTTCCTTGTCCATCCTGCCCACTCAATTTCTCATCAAGTTCTTCATCATTTTCTGTTTCACCATTTGAAGTTTCTTCTCCACTACCACCCTCTTCCATTTCATCTTCCTCCTCAGAGTACACACTGTCATGTGTTTGTTCTTCTTCTTCAACAATCTGTTTCCCATTTGTGGCTCTAATGTGACTCCGACTGTATGTCTCTTCAACATGTGGTGCAAGTAAGGGAAAAATGTCAACCAACTCAACATCATCTATCCCATGTTCTGTTAGTCCCCTAGATTTTGACAAAGTGTTTTGATGATGCCATAGTTTTCTTTTTGTTCCCCCACCCCCATTTTTGGTAACTATCATGTACTCTGCTCTAACCTGAATGCTAGTAAAATATTCTAAAAGTGTCTTGCTCAAATGGTCAATTAACAAATAAGTTTAACTAGAAAAATCAAAATACAATAAAGTAATATTCCATTACCTTAAAAGGATTTCATTTAGATCATACCAGTTAAATTTATTTGTTACATCAAATGACACAATAATATTTGGAACAAACTATTTATTTAAACTGGAACACAAAATGCAATAAGGTAATAACTTTTACCTTAATAGGATTTGGTATCCTACCAGTTAAATAATTGGTTTGAGTTCGAAACACTAGCTCACCATGCACAACCTTGAGTGACCAAAAGTCAAAAGTAAAATGTTTGTATCAAGTAAATTATGCCGGCAAAGTCAAAATGCAATAAGGTAATTCTTACCTTGAAAAGGATATTTAAATCCTACCGGTATATTTACTTCATTACAAACATTTTAATTCATTGGAAGAAAAGGCACACTGATACGAAAAATACATGTGTATAATTGAGGACAAATAAATAAACAATGTTTGTGACTAATAAAATTATACTGGAAAGTAAAAAGAGAAAAGTACACTTTACATACCTGTGGTTGTGGCCGTTTGCAATCAGGGGTCTGTGATGAACTTTGCAACAAACCCAAGCTTGTGCTTTCCTACCGTTACCACCCGCGGGGTCTAAGCGACTGGGCCGTTAGTAATACGCTACGTGGCACTTTTTTTTTTGCTTACGTGGCTTTTAATCCCAATTACAAAGATTAGGTGAAATTAGGGCTGAAGAAAACCCAATTACAATTAGGTGAAATTAGGACTGAAGAAATCACAATTCTTCCTCCCATTCGATTCTACACCTCCGGTTGGGAAAGAACAAAGATTGTTGGTCGAAGCAGACAAAGGACAATAACGCAAGCACTGGCAGATGGAATTGTAGTTTTTTGTCCTTAGAGTCTTCACGTGAAAGTAAGTACTCCAATAATTGTTTCTTTGGTTTACATATTTTGGTTAGGGTGTGACGCTTGTTGGAAAACCTGGTTGGTAGGTAAATTAATGTGCGAATGGGTTCGTTGGAAGTGTTAATGGGTATTGAAGTTTGTGTTGCAGTTTAAATTTTCATTCATTTTTGGTATTGAAGTGTAGTTTGTCCGCATTGAATGTATGTGCAGGTTTGGTATGAGTGAGTACGTGAATTTGTTAATTCACCATGGTGGAAAGTGGGACAGTCCAAAAGAAAAGAAAAAGTATGTGGGAGGCCATGTTTTGAAAAAAGATAAAGTTGACATTGACTATGTGAGCAAGTTCGAATTGGAGGGATATGCAGCAGATTTGGGTTATACAAATGGGGTAAAAATGTGGTTTAGAAGATTCTCAATTAGGGAGTTGTGTGGACCAGTCAACTTGCAAGAGATAGTGTGTGATAAAGATGTTCAAGACATGTTGGTGTGTAACATAATGGACCCACACATTGAGTTGTATTTTGTTGCAAACACAAGTAAAAAACGGGTGGTTGGTACTTTAGCAAAAGAAACAACCCAATCTTCACAGGAAGCCCACACTTCAGTCCCAACTCAATTACAAAATAAAGATCAAGCTCGACAAGCAGACCAATCTGTGGGTGAATCCACTACATTTCTTGAAACTGAATTACAGAGTGATGAGGATGATGAAGACTATGTGAATCAAAGTGGATCTGAAAGTGCTTCACATGACCATTCCAATTCCAATATCAGTGAAGCTTCCTGGCTATATGATGACCTAGAAGGGAGTGAAGCTTCCTTGCTATATGATGACCTAGAAGGGAGTGAAGATGATGTATTTAATCATGGAGCTGCAAGTTTAAGCCAAAAACCACCCCCAGGTCCAGACCAACCTTCAGAACCAAACCCCTTTTTTCCAGAAGATCTGAATGAAGAGCAGCTTAAGGAGTTTAATGAAAGTCCATGCTATAGTGATGACTTGCATAGCATTGTAGGATCTGAAGATGGTGATGAAAAGTATGAAGAGTTCAATGAAGAAACAGGAGCTTCAAATCCAGAATTATCCAAAGGTTTGAAATTTACCTCACATACCTCTTTTAGAAATGCTCTTAAGGAATGGGCAGTCAAGGGTGGATTTGAATTCAAATTTGTGAAGAACAATAGATCTAAAATCACTGTGGTTTGCAAAAACAAGGACATTTGTTCATTCAGGGTTCATGCATCAAAAGTTCCAGAATGTGGGTCCTTCCAAATAAAAACATTCAGGCCCAAACATGAATGCCCTTTTAGTAACAGAAACACCTTGGTGACTAGTAGCTATTTGGCAAAAAAGTACATGGATGAGTTGAGGGAAAATCCTGAGTGGGATGTCACTGCTATGCAAAAGTCAGTTCAAAGACAGTTAAGGGCAGAGGTGAGTCTTGCAAAGTGTTACAGAGCTAGAAGAAAAGCAAAGGCAAAGATCCAAGGAGATATCAAAGAACAATATAGGAGGTTGAGGGATTATGCAGAAACTGTTGTTAAATACAACCCTGGGAGTCTTGTAATAATCAAAACTGAAGCTAGGGATGTCAATGAAGAAGGTGGTGCTGCAGAGGGTGTACCAAGAATACCCAAGGAAATTCTAATGCTTCAATACATGTACATGAGGTTTAGTGCTCAGAAGCAGGGTTACTTTGCAGGTCTTAGACCCTTAATTGGGTTAGATGGGTGCCACTTGAAAACACCAATGGGAGGCCAACTGCTTTGTGCTGTAGCAAGGGATGGAAATGAAAACATGTTTCCTCTTGCTATAGCTTATGTGGATAGTGAAGACAAAGCTTCATGGACTTGGTTCTTGCAAGTGTTGTTTGAAGATTTTGGAAGACCAGAAGAAACTAATTGGGTATTCATGTCAGACAAGCAGAAGGTGTGTTAAAAATGTGTACTTATATCATGCTTAAAAATTTGTTGTTTACATAAACTGTTTTTAATTGTTACCTTGTTTCAGGGACTAGTTGAAGCATTTAAAGTTGTCTCACTTGCAAATGAGCACAGATATTGTGTGAAGCACATGTATGAGAATTACAAGAAGATATTTAGAGGGCCTGAATACAAAAAAAACTATGGTTTGCAGCTAGCACTGGAAGTTTGAGGTCATGGCAGAGGCAAATGGAAGGCATCAAGAGCTTTGATGAGGCTGCTTACAACTGGATTATGCAGTATGACCCAAGTACTTGGAGCAGATCCCATTTCTCAACCTTAGCACATTCTGATGCTCTTCAGAACAACATTTGTGAGTCATTCAATGCCTACATACTCAGAGCAAGAGATATGCATATTTTGAGCATGTTTGAGTGGATTAGAAGAAGATTAATGGCTAGGTTTCATGTTAAGTACACTGTCATGATGAAATATAAGGGTGAAATATGTCCTAATAAGCAGGATCTACTTGAAAAGTTTAAATTTGAAAGTAGGAATTGTTTTTGCACTCCTGCTGGGGACAAATTGTTTGAGGTAGATTTTTATGATACTAGCCATGTTGTTAATCTAAAAGACAGGACTTGTACATGTCGAAGGTGGGACTTAAATGGCATCCCTTGTAAGCATGGAGTGTCTGCTATATATGCAAACCGAGAAAAACCTGAAGACTATGTAAGTCCTTTTTATGCTAAATCCACCTACTTAGCTGTGTATAAACACATTATCCATCCTCTTCCAAGTAAAGATGAGTGGGAGAGGATAGAGAGTCCAGATATTGTGCCCCCAATCCCTAGAAAACCTGCAGGAAGACCAAAAAAGAAGAGGATTAAACAACCTGATGAAACAAGGAATCCTTTCAAGGTGTCTAGGGCAGGTAAGCAGGTGGTTTGTGGCAACTGTAAGCAAGTGGGACACAATGTTAGAGGGTGTAAGACATCCATAACTGGAGAAACACCATGGCAAAGGAGAAAGAGATTAGGAAAGAAAAAAAAATGTCCAAACAGAAGCAGAGGGTGTTGATGATATTTCTGAACCAACCTCTCATGAGCCACTTCAGACAACCAATAATGACAGTGAATTAACAACTCCCATGACCCATGATTCGGTTTCCCAAAGCATTGGAGGAAGAACAAAGAAGATAAGGAGAATCAGCACTTCACAACCACCCCAACCATCTTCCAAAAGAGTGACTAGGTCCTCAAGTACACAGCCCTCAATGGTAATTGTATGGTCTGCATTGTTACTCTTGTAATGTGTTGTTTTTACACTTATTATGATGTTATTACTTTTTTCAGGGCACATAAAGTTGAGGATTAACTGACAAGAGACCAGAAATGTTGCAGTTTTGTTGTGGGGAGAAGAAGAATGGTGCTTTAGTAGACATGTTTAGATATCAGTATATGAACTTTTAAATCATGCCTTAGTAAGCATGTGTTTTGTAATGATACTTATGTAAGGAACATATTTTGTTGTTAGCATATGTTCTGAAGTTGTTGGATGAATTTCGTATGTGTTTGATGGAAAGTATCTGTTTATTTTGGTAATCTGTTTACTCAAACCATATGTTCTGTTTTAGGTAAAGTCAGAATCAATCTTTTGGGTTAAGAATTTCAGACCCAAAAGAAGTTGTTCTGTAACACCACAATGACATTAAAGAAGTTCACAGCACTCCCAGTATATCTACTATAACATTAACCAAAAGAAGATGTGGAGAAATAAACTGCTATAACATTAAACAAGTTCACACAAATTGTTACAGCCAAAATCTTCATACAATCTGACATCAACCCTTACAAGGTTCTTACATTGGTGCATTACATTGGACATCACTCACAACAAAACATCTCACATGAAATTAAACTAAAGGAATCTCCAAACACAATTACACGTGGTTTGGTCATTTCATCGAAAACTTAGCAAAGAACTTAGACCTAAAATCTTCTACTTGCAAAGAACATGAAAATTAACATGGCCAGACAGAGCAGCTTCCACTTAAAAGTGACATTATGATTCTTAGACATCTGCAGTTGCAGTTCCATGTTCTGAACCTTCGACACACCAATTTCACGCACACAGTTCTTTATTTGACCCTCCATCTCCAACTCTTTCATCTGGACATATTCTTCAAGTCTTCTGACCTTCTCAATAACAGCATCTAAGTTATGCAGACAAGTACAACACGTATCTTCTTCAACCCACTCAAAAAAATTGCATTGTTGTTCGCCCCCTCGAGAATAACGGCCGCAAGCATGAAACTTTTTCCCCCGGTTCTTCTCTGTTGTCGCCGTCCAAATAGGAGCTTGGACTCCACAGCCGCACTTCTTGATTTGTTGTCTTCCATCCATCGCACAGGAGCTCGAATTAGAATAACTCATCTCTTCAAATTTGTATTTGTGTTTGTGGAAGAGGGGAATGGATTTCGTATGCGTATATGGTCCAAATAGGTTAACACGGTATGGACTAGGGATAAAAAGCCATGTAATCACACATGGTGTTAATAGATTGGGATTAAAAGCCACGTAAGCAAAAAAAAAGTGCCACGTAGCGTATTACTAACGGCCCAGTCGCTTAGACCCCGCGGGTGGTAACGGTAGGAAAGCACAAGCTTGGGTTTGTTGCAAAGTTCATCACAGACCCTTGATTGCAAACGGCCACAACCACAGGTATGTAAAGTGTACTTTTCCCAAGTAAAAATGCTATAAGGTAAATTCATTTACCTTAATAGGATCTTCAAATCCTACCAGTAGAAATTTTATTAGACTCAAAAATTAACCGATCGATTATTTGTTATTTCATCTCGTGATCATCCGGAGCCAATCAAACATCCCAGCATGGAGAGCATTTAATGCAAAGACGTACAGTATGGGATGCACAATCAACTTGAAGCCTATAAAGGAGAAAACCTGCAGCGGCTAGGCACACAAGGACAAAGAAGTTATCAGCTCCAAAGAAGAAGACGAACAACAAGTTGTTATCTTCTGAAACAAATAATCAACGATCAGGATTAATTCATCCTAACCAACGGATGAGATCAATTAACCGGAGAGCCTATAAATATAGGCTGAAACGAAAGTTTCTAACCAAGCTTGAGCATCCTAAGTAGAGAGATATTTCTATTGAGCATTCACGAAATACCTAGCAAAACAGAAAGTGTTATTCTATACTTTACTCTCTGCTTAGACTCTTGCTTCACTAAACTTCTTAGTCTCAAGTGTTAATTGCTAAATCCTAGAAGTTTAGTTCCTAGTTGGAGGTCAGATATTGTTGTAAACACTTCAGGAGGGCAGTGTTCCCGGCCTGAGTGTGGTTAGATTGGTCAGGAGTACCTTTTGATCCCCACTGGATCAATTGAGAAAAACCTAAAGGATTGAGTAGCTTGGAGTGGTGTTGTACTCCTCGTGAAACACCTTCAATCTAGGCCAGAGTTGTCAAGGCTAGATTGGCACTAAGTGTATTGGGCTTAATACATTAGTGAAATCCATTTGAAATAGGATGGGACTGGATGTAGGAGGATTACACCACATCTGAACCAGGATATACTGTGTGTTGATTTATTTTCAGTCAACAAAG